TGCACACGCAACGACAAATGCAGAAGACGAAAAGTGCAGACTCAGCAACAGTAGGTTTCAACATACACAAAGGAAAAAACAAGATTCTACAATACAATACAGCATTCACCAATCCAATCACACTAGACAGAGAAGCTTTGGAGGATGTAAAAACCTTCATATTACCTGGGCAGCATCATTGATGAACATGGTGGATTTGATGCAGATGTGAAGGCGCGAATCAGAAAGGAATAGCAGGATATTTACAACTGAAGGACATCTGGAACTCAAAACAACTGTAAACCAACATCAAGGTCGGAATTATCAATGCAAAGGCCAGGACAGTTCTACCGTACGGGGAGTAAACTTGGAGAACTACGAAAACCACCATCCAGAAGATTCATATGTTTATTAACAAATGTCTATTCAAAATACTTCGGATCTGTTGGCCAGACACTATCAGTAATAACCTACTGTGGGAGAGAACGAACCAGATTTCAGCGGAGGAAGAAATCAGGAAGAAGAAGCGCTGGAAGTGGATAGGACACATATTGAGGAAAGCACCGAACTGCGTCACAAGGCAAGTCTTTACTTGAAATCCTCAAGACCAAAGGAAAAGAGGAAGTTCAAAGGACGAAATACGTGAAGAAATGGAGACAAATATGAGAAGAATGAACGAAAATTAGATAGAGCTAGATAAGAAGGCTGAGGACAGAATAGGTTGGAGAATGCTGGTCGACGGCCTATACTCCATTGAGAGTAACAGGCATAAGTTAGTAAGTACGTAAGTCAACTACAACGTAGGACTAGGCACATATATGCATCGGTTTAAGTCGCCATACCTCATTAACACAAGATGAACACCAGATTCATAAAAGTAGTTAATTCAGAGCTGGTAATGTATAAAAGAAAGATCGCATATAAGGACATAGTACAGGAAGAACGAATGAGTTGGTAGAAAGAAAGATATGAAGCGATTTCAATCTGTTAGTTTAAGGGCAGACAGGGAATGTATAGACCAACGCCATTGTGATTGATTCTGAGCCATGTCACCCAAAGTCCCCAAGCATTGCTTACAGTAGTCACATGGACCCCAACCAAATAATCTGTATCTACCAACGTGGCTCAGGCTAGAAGTTAGTGACTTCAAGCACTGATGCCACGTTTTGATTTGGTTCCTCCTAACTTTCTTCCAACCATCCGTGCGTCGTGGTAATCGGTATTCAGGCATACGTAACACGTGATCGGACCATCTCAGTCGATGAAGATTCACAACCTCATCAACTGATTTACCATCATTCCTTAATACCCTGCGTCTAACCAATAGATTAAAACTTAAGAAAACTTACTTATTATTCTTTGAATTGGTAATAGGATTATGTAATGCATTGAATTGTGATGTAATATCATTTTCATATTGTTTATGATTATTGTCTTTTTTATCGATTTCTTGAAGTGTTTGTATTAAATGTAATTTATATTTTCTTTCTTCTATTTCATTTTCTATTGTGTTTTTTGTGTTTTTCTTATTTATATTACTTTCTTGTTTCATTTGAGTAGTCAATAGTTCATCAGTTTGATTATGATCAATGGAAAGATCATTATTATTATTCATTTGACTGATATTATTGTTTAACAAAATAGAAATATCAGAAAGGGCTTTATGTAGATAGTATAGTAATTATGATAATAGTTAAGATTATGAGTCGATTGAAGCTAGACTATCGTGAAAAACTTGAAAGCACTAGACGACCATTTCATCCTATTGTTTGACTCTTTAGCAGTGTACATCCACGATCTTGCATGGAGAATTCAAACCCAGGACCTGTCAATCTCATGCTTGAGCGCTTAACCTCTAACTTCAATTGATTCATACTCTCAACGTTTAAAACAGAAATAGTTAAATGATTAATAAAATAAAAATGACACATATTTTATAGAAAATATGTAAGACAATTACCGATATTTGTAGATCTTAATAAGGAAATCATAAGTAAGATAGATTTCCGAAAATTCTAGTAAGAAGCTGTTACCTGCAGATATGATTAGATCAAAAAATGAGGTAACTGTTATTCATTGAACTGGATAATCACCTAGTCTAGTTACAAAGTGAAGAGTTGCAAATCTGAACTATACAGTCAGCCATAAAGTAGGATCTAGGCACATATATGCATCGATACAAGTTGTCACACCTCATTAGCATAGCAAGATGAACAATGGATTCATCTCAATAGCAATCACCTATATGATCATCGTTTCATCTTATTGAAAATCTTCAAACATAAAGGGAAAACTGACATTTATTATTGCCTGATCAATAATCGTTTTTCAGTGGACAACTTATTTTGATTGAAATTTAAATGTTCCTATGTCTTCTATGATCGAGTGTACTCAATATAACTAACATAGATTTGCACTTTGTGGTTAAGTAAATGTCACAGAAAGATAAATGACAAGAGATAAAGAAACTAGACATTAATCGACATCATGATTAACCAATGAATGAACGTGTATATATACTCACAATTGCGACTTGATTGTAATACTATTACAATATTCATATTAGGCAATTGATAATAAGCTTTAGAAAATGAGTAAACTTTATTATATCCTCATACTTCATAACTAGTTTTATGGCTTTGATTACAAAATACTTCCGACTCATACAGACTCTTGACTTACTGGTTTAAATAATGATTTCCAAATCACAAAGTTCATTTCGATGAAATTGTTTAATCATTCCTATAGTTCAATTATACCGTAAACTTTTGATAAACACTTTGTCTATGATCAGACAATATTGATTTTCACTGGTTGAAATCATGAGTCAATTGAAGCTAGACCAGCATGAGAAACCTGAAAGCACTGAACGGCCGTTTCGTTCTATTGTGGGACTCATCAGCAGTGCACATCCACGATCGTGCCTCGCGAGATTCGAACCAAGGACCTATCAGTCCCACGCGCGAACGCTTAATTACTAGACCACTGAGCTGGCCAGCATCCAGCGGTGTTTATGTCTAACTTTAAATAATCCACGAAATTAAGCGACACATCCATCATTGTCATCAGTGAGTTTCCATCTCACAACAGACCCGGTTACTAAATAACAATATTGAATTAATCTCTACTTAAAATACAAAAAAAGAAAAGGAATTAAACTAATCACCTGTATTTCTTCGCGTTTGCGCGCGAGACTGTAGGCCCTGCTTTCCAATCCCGCCAGCGGGACCGTGGAAGTGCACTGTTTAGGAGTCCCATACTAGGAAGAAACGGCTGCCCAGTGCTTCCAGGTTCTCCATGGTGGTCTAGCTTCAGTTGCCCCCAAATTCCCTAGTATGGCCGAGAGTGGGGTGGGTCCACCCTCCCTCTCGAAATACTCTCACACGGCCATGCATATACAGCTTCTGCCAGGGAAGTCCTACTCACTGCCTTCTCGTGGCGGTGGTGTTGTTTACGAAAATGAGAGGACGAAAAGCGAATGTCCTGCACTTTGACCGGATCCCAAACCAATGGTGCACATGGGCTCCAGTATCCTGAGGGAAAAAATGGCGTATGAACCAATCGTTGGTCACCGGCTACCACGGGAGTGCATCACCTCATGATGCTCCACTGCCATGTGGGTCAGACCTTTAGGCCGAAGGCTTGGGGAGTGGCCCCCTAAGAAAACCACCTGCTTCGGTCTGGGCACCTGGGCAGCGTCACAGCCCCCACACACAAATATGGTGTAGCGCATATATATTTGGTGCCCTATTGTATCAATATTTATGTGTTGAAATAAATAAATATGGCCTTGAAAGTAGCTTCAATTGACTCATGATTTCAATCAGCGAAATTTCTAAAAATCTCCACAAGACTTATTCTGATAATAATATTGATTTTACTTATTAAGTTATTCTACCCGTTGGATTATTCAGCTAAAAGTAGTTTTAATTGTTTTTTTACTAATTATTGAAGATATTTAGATTAAGATTGATGACAGTTACCAATCTGTTCAGCTATAGTTATTTGTTCACCAATAATTGATTCTATGATAAATCGCGAGACTATAATTTATATGGACAAACCAATCAAGTAGAAGTTAATAGGTTTTGGATTTTGGTGCGAAATTCATTTATCCATTTGGATAAATAGAGTTTTGGGTTTATAGCTGATGTCAGTTCATGATGAAAACCATCAACTGTAAATCCTAATCCTTATTCTTCAAACTGCTTTATAACTTTCATTTAGCCCTAGTAAGTAGGTAGACACTGTCAAGGTCACTTTAGCATCCAGGTTACAATGTGGCCACTAGTCTAGGTGACTCAACATTGCGTTCACTAAGTTAAGATAAGATGGTGGTTATTTCACTTTGGCTAGTAATGAAAGGTGGATACAGCTACTTTGTCATAGTATAGAACCCTTCTTAAGACAATATTGAGGATCGAACACGGAACTATAAAGTGCACGCTTAATGTTCCTAACAATAAGACAAATAAATTATCAGCCAGTATTATACATGAATAATGATAGTTGTTTTTATTCATGACAATGATAGACTTCTCAAGTCACAAATTTTCACAAAATATTCAAAGGACCATCTAGTAACAAGTCAGCAAAAAAACTGACGATTTCTATTCATCATTTACTTAGAATTTGAGTTATCTCTTATTTATTTATTTATATAAACATACTGCCCAGGTGCCCAAACTGAAGCAGGTGTTTTTCTTAGGGGGGCCACATTCTTATACATTAACCCAGTTAAAGTGTTGAACATTCGCTTTTCATCTTCTCAATATCTTAAACAACAACCCCGCCACGAGAAGGCAATGAGTAGAACTTCCCTAACAGTGGTTGTATGCACGTGGCTATGTGAGATGATTTCCACAGCGAGAGGTGACTCTCCTCACTTTCAGTCGTACCAGGGCATTTAGAAGGTTCACCATGAAGTTCTACAAGATTCTACGGTACAGTATGAATATTTTGTTTTGATACAATTAGGATTTTTCAAACGAATTTATAAAACAACGGTATGAACAACATACTTTTCTTTATTGTTTTGAAGATTGAAATCATCTGAAATAGAAATTCATTTAAGAGATCTAATAACACACATATAGACATGATTAGTTAATTAAATATTCAAAAAGAATTTATTTCTATAGATGTATTGTTATAATCGGATAGGGTTTTATGTAGATATTATAGTAACTTAATAGTTGAATTCATAAGTCATTTGGAGCTAGATAGGTCCTAGGTTCGAATCTCGCAAAGCGAGATCGTGGGGGAGCACTGTTGAGGAGTTCCATGCTGGGACGAAACAACCATCCAATGCTTCCAGGTTTCCCATGGTGTTTTAGCTTCAATTGACTATATGAATTCAACTGTTCAAGAAATATTGTTCTTCGATTAGAGTCTTTGTAAACTATAAATTTTTTTATGTTTGTTAGTCTATAAAATTTATATGCAAGTTGTGTTGATTGTTAAAATACAAGAATAACAACGATGATTTGTAGGAGATGAAGTAGAAGTCTTCTACCTGACGTCCGTGCTGATGATGTCGTTCAGAATAACGATGAAAGCTTTACGAACAAACCATCCAGTTCAGAGGACAAAACTCCATCTAAACTACAAATATTCTCCATAGATTTTTTGGAATCTGGTGATACTACAAAGGAGTGTTATAATTTATGAGAGTAGTTGATATGTTGATGTAACAAATTATACACAATGATACAATATGGCTAAATAGTAGTGGCATACGAGGCCATAAGCTAGAGGCGGCCAGATCAGAACATGGCACAAATCTATGAAGTCACTGACAAGTAAACTGAGCCATCTTGGTAGGTGTAGACTATCTGATTTGGATCGGCAAGACGATAGCAACCGATAGATAGGGACCTTGAATGAAATGGCTCAAGGTCGTTCGCAATGGTACGGGTGCATCCACTCTTCCTGTTCTCCCAAATTCTAATCTTCAGGATTCTTCATATTCCTTCATTTTCTTCTCTTTCCAAATTTATTTCGCTGGATTATACTCCTTGAATAACATCTTCGAACCCTAATGTTTCCGATTACTTATTATACTTTTACTACCACTACTACTATGGAATTTGAATCGACAATTGTATCTGTGTGTTAATGTGGTATGGCGACTTGAACTGATGTATGCACGTTCCACGTTGTTACTGACTGACTGACTGGCGAGGCCACAATAATTGAATTAAGTTCGAAGAGCAGGTTTTTATTTACGTTTCTAATATGAACTCCTTGTCATTCAATGAAAAAGCTATCAAATTGCAGAGTACAACATTGTACACTTTAATATTTCTAGCATCATTATGGAAGGATTCACATCAATGTCAACTATATCACTCACTAAGTGAGTCAGTTAATCTCCTATATTTTATGTAGAACTCTGCAATTTTTATTGATTCGGAAAATACAAACGTCCTTCAGTAATTGATTGTAAATATCCACTCTTACCACATGCTTATTGTAACCCGTTGAACAAGATCGACTTTGTTTATTTCCCTCTAATGAATATTCCATTACACATAGTATAGTATTCTCTTCATTTTTATTGATGATCGATTGGATGTCATTAAAATCCTAATGAACAGCTTATTAGAAGAATGCTGTCATTGTGTTCTGATAAAACTGGGTCTTCGTAATAGGATCATTATGTTTTCGTGTGTATTTATTTTTTAGCATATGTACTCACTATTGAATAACTTTAACAGAAAGACCCTAAAGTTCAAGTTGAAGCCCGTATAACTGGTGGGGTTCAACCATGGCAAGCTTCGGACAAGTTGCACCGGTCCCTCTTAATGATCGTCACTCTACGTAGCAGATTGACTATATTTGGAAATATGAACCATAAACTTTTGACTAGATGGTCTAAAGATTGAATTCTCATAATTGATTCAATACTGAGTAGTGATCAATGTGTGTCAGGTCCTTCTTAGTGCAGATCAAATGCTATCCACCAGGTTGCAACGAGGCCACTAGTCTAAGTGACTCGACATTGCGTGCACTACGTTGAGATAAGACGGTGATTGAAGGTGGTCAGCAGGAAACTCTGGACCCGGTTTTCGTGCTATTTGGAACTCGTCAGCAAGATCTGCCTGTAATCTTGAGGGAACCAGTGCTCTTTGACGGATTCGATCCTGTGTCACACAGCTTCACAGTCAGAGACGTTACCACTGAGCTGTCTGGGCCGCGACCGACCTCCTATAGATCTGAGATGTATTCACAATTGATTGATCACTAGCTGGTGATCAATGTCATGTGTGTCAAGTCGTTCTTAGTGCAGATTGAATGCTATCGATCAAGCAGAATTCTTAGCACTGGATTCCATGCTTGTTTAAATAGTTGGAACAAGAAGTGTACTCTAATAAGACAACATGGTTATTTAGTTCTTTATGATTCTTATTAGTTGTCTAATTGAAATCAGTTCATGATTTGAATCATTTTTCTATTAGTTTCCATTAGATGTTAACATATGATCAAACTAACTCATAAAAGTTAAATTGAATACGAGAATAAATGACGGACTTACTTGATTGATGATTCCCCTAAAAAAATGTAGAGAAACAATTTAACAAAGAAATGTAAATTAAAATGCAATAGGTAACCAGAATATTCTGTTTATGTTAAGTTCGGTACTTGATTAACGAAGAATACGATTTACCACTACGACACTCAAACGTTGGAACTTCACTGTCGTAAATCAGAAGACAGAAAAAAGGAGCTGGAGAAGCCATTTATTTAGTAAGAATCGAAATGTATAGGAAATCACGAGTATTTATAGATATTAGCATTTCTGAAATTAACATTATAATTCAGCCAATCCGTAAAGACATACTATGCTGCTCTTTAATAGTAGAATGCCACGTTACTATTCTAGAAAACTCCATCACGTTCTGATTGAGTGAAAACTCTCCGACTCCTTTAGGGCCTCTGGAAGCTCCGTTATATTTCTCGAAAGCCGACTCAATAGTTTATTAAAGTAGAATGACAGTCTTTATTGAATGTAGAGCCAGACAAAACCATGCAAAGGCGAGATATCCGTCTATCAATAAAAGGACGAGTATACTGCGAGGCAGTCCATTCTGTTTTAATTTACGGCAGCAAAACATGGCCATTAGGAGTAGAAGATATTCGTAAGCTACTAGTATTTGACCAAGGATGCCCTAGAGATATTTCTCACATCTGCATGGATCACCCGGTAAGTAATAGTGAGGTCAAACACATGGTATTAGGGAATGATGGTAAATCAGTTAATGAAGTTGTGAATCTTCATCAACTGAGATAGTTCGGCCATGTGATACGTATTCCTGAACACCGATTACCACGACGCACAATGCTGACCGGTGTTGGAGATGGTTGGAAGGAAGTTAGAGGCGGCCAAATCAAAACGTGACATCAGTCAATGAAGTCTCTAACCTATAGTCTGAGCCATGTTGGGAAATGCAGACTATTTGGTTGGGGTCCACGTGACTATCGTAACCAATGGTTGGAGACTGTTGGTGACATGGCTCAGAATCCATCACAATGGCGTCGGTGTATACACTCTCTGCCTTCCCTTAAACTAAGAGATTAAAATCGCTTCATATCGTTCTTTCTACCAACTCATTCTTTCTTCCTGTACTATACCCTTATTGCAATCTTTCTTTTACATATTACCACCACTGAATAAACTGCTTCTATGAATTCGGTGTTCACCTTATTGTGCTAAAGAGGTATCCCGACTGGTGGTGGTTGGGCTTGCCCACCGTGATGAAGCAATCGAGCTATACTGGATGGAACAACCGTTCCTCAAGGTCCTAACATGTCAGACAGGTCGGTCGAAGAGCGGTAAGACTAAAAGCAACAAACCTAAGGTCCGAAGGTGAAGTCGTACTGCTGACTGTACAGAGGTGTGGTAGAAGTAAGATGTTTCCTTCAGACAACCAGCATGACAGCGATGCTGCCTTCTCACAAGGAGGGATGGGGTTAGAAAAGGTCGGCTGTAAAAATGCACACCTCGCCTTATCCCACAGATATCCGTCTCCGGCGGTAAGGTCTCAACAAGTACGGAGCTAACACAAAAATTACCCATAAAAAGATCGTGTGTGACAGACCTCAAGCAGTTGTCCCTTCGGCACTGCGGTTCCGCTCTCAGGTCACTAAGCCCACCTCTAACCCAATTTCCTTTTCAGGTACCTTCAGAACAACCCTTCCACGGTGTGGAAAACCGGGAAGTGATAATCACCCTCATAACTCCAACAGCACTCAAGACCACTGTATTCATAATCAACCTCCCTCTTCAATTCCTATTATACCTCCTACGTCGACTTTCACCTCTAAACTTCCTTTTTCGGCTTCCCCCGCAAGTGTCACCGTAGCCAACGATTCTAGTGCTCAAAACACTGTCTCAGGTCTACTGAAACCTCGCCCCAAACTACACATTGGAGCCTTCAACGTACGCACCCTATGTCAAATCCTTGTCTAGAACCCTAGAATCTCGTACCATTGATGTATGCTGTGTCTGTGAAACACGCATACAGGACCCCAGTGTGGTCATTCACTTGACTTCACCTCGGCAAAACGGAGAGCCAACGAGGTACACCCTACGTGTATCTGGTGATCTGACGGCCAGCTCTCGTGAACTGGTAGGAGTAGGGATAGCACTAAGCATCAGGGCGGAACAAGTACTGTTAGAGTTGTGCTGTTCGGCTAAACGGCTCCTTAAGAACTCGGAAGGATAGGGACACAGGTCGTTGCCTTTTTGTCGTTTCTGCCTACGCTCCCACCGACTGCAGCTCAGATGAAATGAAAGATGAATTTTACAGAAAGCTAACTGAACTTCTTCAGAAAGCTAACCGTCCAGACATAGTACTCGTAGCAGGTGACTTTAATGCCCAGATAGGTAGTTTAAACCAAACAGAAAGGCATCTAGGTGGGTATTTTAGTATTCCGGCACAACGAACAGATAATGGTGATCGTCTGCTGCAACTATGCTCAGACAATCGTTTGTTTTTAGCAAACACAAATTTTAAGCATAAGGAGAGACATCATCTAACATGGCGACCCCCTATACCAAACCAACGATGGACTCAAATAGACCATATTGCCATCAGTCATCGTTGGAGAGGGTCGGTAGAAGATTGTCACCTATTCTGGAGTACCTGCTGGGACTCCGACCACGCCCTAATACGGGTACACATCTGCTTGCGCCTCATTAGACGCAAAAAAGCCACATTAAAAAGACCAATTAGAACTGAGTTGAGTAACAAGAAAACCAAAAGTAGGTTCCAGGAACAACTGAGGTCACACTTAGGTAGTTCTGAAAACGAGGCTGACCCAGATGTTGCTTGGAAAGCTATACAAACTGCTGTAGAAACAGCAGTGACATCCATCAGTGATTTAAACCACAGGGTTACAAAGAACCAGTGGATTTCCTTTAGGTCTATTGCACTGACAGGTTCTCGTAAACTCATCCCATCAGGCTCTGAACACGATGAAGAGCGCAACAAATCAGATCTAGGTTAAGCAAAAGTCTAAGGAACGGCCGTGAGCAGTGGTGGGCAACGAAAGCAAAAGAGATGGAAAAGGCGGCGACTATAGGGAACACAAGACAGCTTTATAGACTAATAAAAGAAACTGGAACTAATAAGTCAAGTGTGAGATTATATCGGAAAAATACGATACTCTCATCTGCTCCCAGTCCAGACGTTTAGAACGATGGGCGGAATATTTCGGAGAACAGTTCAGCTGGCCTTCAGCTACTCTACAACTACCCTTCATTCCCAGACAGTGTGAATGGAACATTGAAGTAGGTCCCCCAACTCTTGCTGAAGTTCAAAAGGCTATAGTTAATCTGAAACGAGGAAGCGCAGCTGGTCCAGATGGATTGGCTCCAGAAGTCTTTAAGGATGGTGGTCCAATTTTAGCGATTAGGTTGACTAATATTTTAGCTAAGATCTGAGAATTAGACTTTATCCCATCTGACTGGTCGCAATCACTTATCGTTCCAATATATAAGAAAGGGTCAAAATCATCCTGTGACAACCACAGAGGGATTAGTTTAACAAATATAGTATCTAAAATACTAGCCTCGATAATTATCAGACGCCTAACCAAGACTTGTGAACTGCAAACATGAGAGAACCAAGCTGGCTTCAGACCTGGTCGTGGCTGCATCGACCACATATTCACCATTCGTCAGGTTCTAGAACACAGACATACTTATTGGCATCCGACAATGGTGGTATTTCTTGACTTAAAAGCAGCATTTGACTCTGTAGACCGCGAGATTCTGTGGCAGTGTCTGTCATTGAAAGGCGTACCCCAGAAGTACATAAACCTTGTAAAGGCTCTTTACTCGAACACTACTAGTCGAGTCAGAGCTTATGGCGAACTGTCATCTACTTTTGCAACCTCAAGTGGTGTCCGTCAAGGCTGTCCACTTTCTCCACTTTTGTTTAACTTCATCATAGATCTACTGATGGAAATAACTTTCTCGTCGACTGAGTTCTCGGGTATTGATCTCCATCCAGGAGGTCCACTTATCGACTTAGAATACACAGGTGACATAGTCCTGTTTGGTGAAGACGCTGACAAAATGCAGGTCTTCTGGTAGCACTGAACAACAATGCCAGAATGTTTGGAATGCGCTTCTCTCCCTCTAAATGCAAGTTGTTGCTTCAGGACTGGTCTGTGTTAACACCGGAACTAAGGATAGGGAGTGAAGTAGTCGAACGCGTTGACAACTTCACTTATCTTGGAAGTCTGATCAGCCCTAATGAGTTGGTGTCTGACGAAATCTCAGCACGGATTCGAAAAGCTCGTTTGGCTTTTGCCAACTTACGTCACCTGTGGCAAAGGCGAGATATCCGTCTATCAATAAAAAGACGAGTATACTGCGCGTCAGTTCGTTCTGTTTTACTTTACGGCAGCGAAACATGGCTACTAGTATTTGACCACAGGTGCCTTAGAAATATTGCTGGACCGATGCATATATGTGCCTGGTCCTACGATGTAGCTGAATAACTAACTGAACATTGCCATACCACATGAATACAATAGAATAAAGTCACCAAAAAATCAATATTAAATGAGTAAAAATAACAATAGTACAGTAACAGAATAGTAACGAAAACTGATTATTGAGAATGGGATTTGTGAAGACAAAGTATATAGGGTATGTATGAAAGAATACTAAAACTAAAGATCTAGAGATAGAATAAGGAATGAATACATCTACGTGATTATGATTGATTCAAAGTCATATTATACAATATCTTCAACCAGTGGTCCTGGTTATCACTTGAATGTCAACAAAGTAGTTTACTTTTCACAATAAATACTTACTAAAAATAGCTTACTTAATAAAATAAAATAGGGCGAAACTCTTAGAAAATCATTAGGCCTCTATTTTGGGGGAGAAGATTTTCTATGATCATTGACTTGAAATAATGAGAAAATGATGAAAGTTTTAAAGATGAGAATATTGTACCTCTTCAAACTACGAATAATTTCATTAAAACTAATACGTTTGTCAGTAAATTTAAAGACAAGTACTTATACTTGACTTGGTTCACAAGGGTGCTTGGAACCTGTGTGGTTGCGTTGTACTATACAGATTGTAGCGTTAATTGTAGCGTAAGGTGTCTGGTTCTCCTGTGAAGCAGGATTGAGCTGTACTGATCGGTTTATAAAATTTAAGCCTGGGCGGTGTTTGACTCTCTCGTTAAACAGGATTGAGCTTTACTGTTTGGGTTGTCACGTGAATGTTTGGATGGTGTCTAGTTCTCCTGAAAACCAATGTACAATTACCCTCGCCCACAAGAGTATATTATATAACTGTGAACTAACTGATACTTTATTACTTCGTTTATGAACTTAATTAAACAGCTTCTTAATATCTTAATTACTGTGTTCATTAAAATCAGTAAGTAAAGTGAGCAGAAAACTGACTGATATATTCGTAAACATTCTATAATAATAATAACAACAGTCAGTCAATCAGTCAGCTACAACGTAAGACCAGGCACATATATGCATCGGTTTAAGTTGCCATACCGCATTAGCATAACAAGATGAACACCGAATTCATAGAAGCAGTTTATTCAGTGGTGGTAATATGTAAAAGAAAGATTGCAATAAGGGTATAGTACAGGAAGAAAGAATGAGTTGGTAGAAAGAACGATATGAAGCGATTTTAATCTCTTAGTTTAAGGGAAGGCAGAGAGTGTATACACCGACGCCATTGTGATGGATTCTGAGCCATGTCACCAACAGTCTCCAACCATTGGTTACGATAGTCACGTGGACCCCAACCAAATAGTCTGCATTTCCCAACATGGCTCAGACTATAGGTTAGAGACTTCATTGACTGATGTCACGTTTTGGTTTGGCCGCTTCTAGCTTTCTTCCAACCATCTCAAACACCGGTTAGCATTGTGCGTCGTGGTAATCAGTGTTCAGGAATACGTATCACATGGCCGAACCATCTCAGCCGATGAAGATTCACAACTTCATCAACTGATTCACTGTCATTCTTTAATACCTTGAGTCTAACTTCACTATTACTTACCCGGTGATCCCAGCAGATGTGAGGAATATTTATAAGGCATCTGTAACCAAATAATAACAGCAAATGATACAAACGAAAAAAAACTTACGATAACTCCTTTCGATGAATTTTCTTCTATCTCATCTACATGATGTTCATTATCATTTGATAGTTTTCCATTGATCATCAATGGATATCCTTCTAAGTTGGATTCTATGTTATTGTCTATTCTAGGCATTTGTTCTAATCCTTTACACATAGTGACATATTGAGATGATAATGATACATCATTATTGACTTTATTGTTATTATTATCATTCACAGTGATTGGTGGTAGCCTAGGTGAATATTTATCATTTGAGTTACATTTATATTGATCAATTAATGGATTATTAGATTTCGATGTTTCTTCTTTATGACCATTATGATTGTCCATTTCATTTGTAGTAGAATAGATAGATGATAAACTAGATAAATGACTCAAAATGAGATTTTTTGGAATACGATGACTATAAACATTTTGTAATTCTAGTAATTTTTTTTTCTCCTGTAAAGATATTACAATTTAAACAAGAATAATAATCAATTCATTATTATTATTATTATTATCAGAAAGAGGTTTATGTGAATAATATAGAAATTATAATAAATGAGATCGTGATTTAACTGAAGCTAGACCATCATGGAGAACCTGTAAACACTGGACGGCCGTTTTGTCCCATTGTAGGACTCCTCAGCAGTGCGCATCCACAATCCCGTCCCCCCCCCCGCGAGATTCAAACCCAGGACCTTTGGGTGTGGCGCGCGAACGCTTAACCTGTAGACCACTGAGCGGATATCCAATGGTGTTAATGCACAACATTAACTAATTCACGAAGTTGAGCGATACATCCACCATTGTCTTCAGTGAATTACTATCTGACAACAGACCCAGTTGAACACTACTAATCACTGCTTCTCATTAGAACTCCAGGAAATACCTCAATAAGTTGTATGACATTATTCTAGTATTCTAACTTCAGAGAGGAAGAATATCTATATGATAAAATAAACGTTAACATATACATTCACTGAACAGAAGATTTAAAATTACCGGAATAGGTGAAATGCTTGATAGAAAAATTTTATAATTACCTGTAGTTGTTGAGTTCTTTCATGAAGTTTATCTTTTAAATGTTGATATTCTTGTCGTAAACTTCGTAGTTTTTCATTATTCATATTGATTTGTTGTTTATGATTTTTTGTTAATACATCTAATTGATGCTTTAATTGCTACAATAGAGAAGAGATAATGAATGAGTTATGTTATGTCCCGAGAAACATAATGAATGGTAACTTTTGGGATCTATTGATGGGCAAATACTAAGCGTATATTTCTATTGTATAATTATTAAGTACCTAAAATATCCATATTCATATTTCTCTTATTATAAACTTTATTTTGACCTATGAACCATTATTATACGATTTATCATTCTTCAGTTATGCCCTGTCTATTAGTCACTGCCTCCCTCATTCATAGCCACATTTGGATAAATCTTGTACAAATGTTGTTTCCTATTTTATGGTACGTTGCGTTCTGTTTGATTGGTATATAAAATCAGTATGTTTGAAATATAAGGATTCATATTGCAGAGGTTGAGATTGTTGTTCTAGACTTAACTGACTGGGCTAGGCAGGAAGCAAGACCGATAAGGACCGCTAGACTCCTCGTAATTGTTTTATGCGTCATTGATTCGATCGATAATTCGCTGCTTCTGATTGGCGGCTTTGGGCCATAACAATGCCATTGAAAATGATGGATACTAATTGATAGGTAAGTGAATTGGAAGTTTTAATGAAAACTGTTGTTTCCCAATGTGTTTACATATCTGTTAACTAAAGCTACGTTTATGAACATTATCACTAAGATATTTAAGCAGCGGTTGACATTCTGTAGTTCTAAATGATAGTACCAGCATATAAGTAGCATTCTAAATATTAGGAGTCTATAACGAAGAGATTATATATAACTGAAAGCTGTGTGTGACTATAAAACAACGAACTGTGAAAATTATCATATGAATAAGTGCAGAATGCGTGGTTGGAGCCTGATTGACTGTCGTAATCTCCAGTTTTATAGTTATTATATATACCATCTACCCTTTATAAATCCATTCTTTCTTCATGAAGAATATCATATGTATGTTATAATTTCTATCATTATTATTGTTATCATCGCTACGATTACTACTACTACTACTACCAATAATAATAATAGTACTAATAATTCTGTTACTCTAGAATTTATCTACATAACTTCATTTCACTGTGCTAGTAAGCTGGGACAATTGTTGAGAGAGATTGATTATGAATACAGTGGTATTTATTGCTATTAGAAGTATGAGGGCGGTTATCACTTCCCGGTTTTCCACACCGTGGAAGGGTTGTTCTGAAGGTACCTGAAAAGGAAATTGGGTTAGAGGTGGGCTTAGTGACCTGAGAGCGGAACCGCAGTGCCGAAGGGACAACTGCTTGAGGTCTGTCACACACGATCTTTTTATGGGTAATTTTTGTGTTAGCTCCGTACTTGTTGAGACCTTACCGCCGGAGACGGATATCTGTGGGATAAGGCGAGGTGTGCATTTTTACAGTCGACCTTTTCTAACCCCATCCCTCCTTGTGAGAAGGCAGCATCGCTGTCATGCTGGTTGTCTGAAGGAAACATCTTACTTCTACCACACCTCTGTACAGTCAGCAGTACGACTTCACCTTCGGACCTTAGGTTTGTTGCTTTTAGTCTTACCGCTCTTCGACCGACCTGTCTGACATGTTAGGACCTTGAGGAACGGTTGTTCCATCCAGTATAGCTCGATTGCTTCATCACGGTGGGCAAGCCCAACCAACACGTCGAAGTAGCGACAACTGTCAGGGGTGAGATAACACGAACTAATGCAGGTATTTACCAGATTCAAGGTTGTGTATAATTGACTACTGATGTCCACATTATTTCCACTACCTATCTGGCACCATATATTTGCATCTTACTGAATTTCTGACATAGTCTCCTAAGAATTTGTTCAAAAAATCTAAGTGAGACCCTCTACTAACTAAAGTATTTCAAACCTTTGCTTATAATTACATAAAACTTGTAATTTTAGGCTGTTTTTAACTAATGGAAACTTTGAAACAAGATGAATTCACTTTATTCTGGGTGTACCTGTATTGCAGAGATGATATTCACTCTATGACTCTAACCCAGTACCATTCGCTCCAAACTCCATTGCATTATCCACTTAGCTACTGAGTCCTGACGAGTTTCTGATAGGACGAAACGCGCGTCAAACTAGATTCCACTGCTAGTCACTTTCCATATTTGCATATAGTACTTGTGAATTACAGTTACATTAAGGCAATGAGTACAGTATGCACATATGCCAATAAGAGATTGATTAATTGCAGTCCTAAACATCAATGAGAAAATTCAAACAAACAATACCAAGTGAATTTATCTTAAGTTTAGCTCTTTACTCATTGTATTTGATAAGATAGTCATAAAGAGTTGAAACAATGTCTTATACTAAAGAAATATGAAAATACTACATTGTATTGCAACTCAGCCTGAAACTCCCCCCCTCGAGGCTACAACCGGTCCCAAGCCCGTATAAAGAAGAAGGGTTGGGTATTGGGGTTAGTTACCCCAACCCGTTGAAAACCAACTTGCTAAAAAAACGATAAAAACGCTATATTGTATTTCCAATTTGAAAGCTTACCGAATTTCTCTTCTTTTCTTCTTGTAATTCTATAGATATGTCATAAGTTTTATTGTTTCGTTTGTGTGATACCGATGATCCTTCATCAGTATATTGAGATTGATTATGTTTTTCATCAATCGTTTTCTCTAATACATAAATACGTTGTTGTAGTTCGTGAATTTTTCTTTGATCTATACATGATTGTAGAGTTTTTTCACGTAGACGAACTTGTAATGTACGTATTTCTGAATTTAAACGATCAACAATTTGTGGCATATCAGCTTCTTGTCCTATAGCCTAATTCATTTTAAAAGAAATAATGATTTCTCATTATATGAACTAGTGTTATACCAGTATTATAGGTAGACTATTTCAATGTAGAGATATTCTAATTTCCCATATTTCAGTTAAAACCTGATAGTATTTGATTGAGATCATTAATTGATTGATGTTGGGCCACCGTTGAAAACATGGAAGCACAGGACGGCCGTTTCGCCCTATTGCGCGACTCCTAAACAATGCGCATCCATTGTCCCGCTTGCAGGATTAGAACGCAGGGCCTTCAGTCTCGTGCGCAAACGCCTAACCTCTAGAGCTCAGCGCACTGTCAAGGATTCCCACAATAGGACGAAACAGCCGTCCAGTGCTTCCAGGTATTCAATGGTGGTCTAACACCAATCGATTCTTGAACTCAATCAAAAACCTAATAATCTCTGAAACCCTGATATCATGAAAAGTGATTCAAGTCAGTTGTTAGTAATCATTTAACTGGTAGCGAAACAGCTGAAATTAAAGTTAAATTACACATCTCATCCTTTTGTTTAGTTGAGTGGTTACTTTATAGTTAAATTACTCAAAAATAACTTATTTCATTACGTGTTCGAACATCGCTAGAAAGTGGCTTGAATCACTCATCATGATATCAGGTTTTAACTGAAATCAGTCAGTCAGTCAGATACAACGTACGACCAGGCACATATATGCATCGGTCCACGTTGACACACCTCATTAGCACAAGATGAACACCGAATTCACGAAAGTAGTTACTTTAATGGTAGTGATATATATAAAAAAGATTGTATAAGGGGATAATACAGGAAGAAATGATAAGTTCGTAGAAATAAAGGTATAAAGCAATTTTCAATCTCAAGGTCTAGGGGAAGATAGAGAGTGTATACATCTATGCCATTGTGATCGATTATGAGCTATGTCATACACAATCTCCAACCATTGATTACAGTGGTCTCATGGACCTCAACCAAATAGTCTGCATCTACCAACACAGCTCAGACTATAGGTTAGAGACTTCATTGACTGATGTCACGTTTTGATTTGGCCGCCTCTAACTTCCTTCCAACCATCTCCAACACCGGTCAGCATTGTGCGTCGTGGTAATCGGTGTTCAGGCATACGTAACACGTGATCGAACCATATCAGTCGATGAAGATTCACAACCTCATCAACTGATTCACTATCATTCTCTAATACTCTGCGTCTAAATTCAAGGCCATGTTTCGCAACCGTAAAGTAGAACAGAGCGAGCTGCCACACGGTATACTCGTCATTTTATTGATAGACGGATATCTCGCCTATGCTATAGGTAACGTTGGCAAAAGCCAAATGAGCTTTTCGAATCCATACAGAGATTTTATCAGATACCAACCCATTAGGTCTGATCACTCCCTATCTTTAGTTCAGGTGTTGAATATCTCTACCTGGTTAGTTACATGAATTTAGTTTACTTATATTACTGGTGTGAAATGATATCTTTATAAGGTTCTACTGACTAACATACCTATGAGAGAACTCAAAATAAAACTAGAAACCATTCCTTAACAAGTTTCATGGAAATCACTGTTAGTCTTTTAAAAAGATAAATCTAACTTACTTTATCCAGTCGTACAGCTTGCATTTTATATTGTCTTTGTAAAGTTTTCAATTCTAATTTACAATCTTTTAGTTCTTTATTCAATTGTATAATTAAACTATTTGCATCAGCTAATGCGAATTGATTGGATTCCCATCTATCTAGAACACTTGATGAGAATTTCTTATTGAAATTTAGTTTTTTTGATGAAGATGTTGATGAGTTATGATCAAATTTAGAATGAGATGAAGGTTTTATGATTGAATTATGCTGTGATAGTTTTGATTTATAGTTAATAGTTTTCAATGCTTTAAATTAAAACAAAAAAAGAAAAGGATTCATCTATAATTTTGAAAAAGAAGTAGTGATGATCGAGATTCAGAGGTAAAAGTAGTAGGTACAGTGAAGAAGAACATGAATGGGGACAATCGAATGTATTTTAACACGAAATCGTAAAACTGCCTTTCATTCCCGTTGTTTCCTTCTTGATCTTCTACTGAAATATATTCTTTTCCTGTCCATCGTTATATACTACTAATGTAAACATAAGTAGCTCACAGCACACTTGTCCTAGCTTTAAGGCATTCATTCTTGCGGTGGTTTTGCTCACCGTGTCGAGTCTGCAGCGCTGACGTCCATAACTCTGTCGACCTGCCGGAGCACCAACATCCGACATCCACTCAACACCTTGGACGTTCAACGTCAGCGCTCCAGTGGCCTGCTGAGCTATCTACATTCGATGTACGCCCAGCAGCTGCACGTCCCACCGCTCCCTATCGTCGACAGCACCCGCTTCAGCCAACGCTACCCCGCCAGAACACTCCACTCGACGTCACCTCTCTGCGCCAAACCGTCCTAACTGGTACCTCATCTCTGGGCCTGAGACGGAGTCCGCAGAACGTCAGTCTTGCCCTCATTGGTTGGCAGCGACACCAAATATAGTGAACAAGAACATGAATAGGGAAAATCGAATGTATTTAAACACGAAATTACAGAATTGAGTTCCGTCCCCATTGTTTCTTTCTCGATCTTCTACTGAAATACATTCTATTCTTGACCATATAAGTAGCTCACACCACAGTAACAAATCAAATAAGAATGAGAAAGCTAAAAACAACTGCTGTTCCATCCCCGACAAGTTTTTTTTCAAAATCTCAATCTAAATTAAAGGCAAATCTCTGAGTCTTCTTTAACCAAAATATAATTAAATTACTAAACTATCCACTATATCAAATTTATTCAGTTTGAAGTGTGATGATGTTGACATTACATGGTTAACATATTCTTAAGCTAGTTGATTATCCAGATCATAGTAAAACAACTATAATTAGGAATATGAATTGTTGTATTTTAGTACATTTAACTTATTATACTGTATTCATCATAAGGTCTAAGGTTCATTCAATGAAACAACTCTGAATCTTCCAGCAATGCGCATTAATCCAAGTTCTCTAACCAAATTGGTATACTTAGACAATAATTTTATCATTTATTGAAGGACAAACTAAAAATTAAGAATATAATTAGGAATATGGGATAAAAAATATAAACAAAGAGTATTCAGCGACTGACAATTAAAATCAACTTTATATTTGATATTCACCGTGCAGCAAGGAGTATTTACATTTTTTTAAAGAAATTGATGAAACTTATGATAATCTAATTCTAATCTCAATTTACATAGTTAACCATTGACTTTGTTTTATAAATACTAGTACACATGCTAATTTACCAAATTAAGTAAACTAAGGAAATCTGTCGGGATTAAAAGTTACAGACACCAGTGCAGACTAAGTCTAAAACAAGTACTATATACTGTCTTTCTAATGATTATATTAGAATATATAGGTAATTTGGGCGGGACTATAATTTATGAACGAACCAATCAGATTTATGATAACAAGTCTTAGATTTTGGTGAGAAATCCATTCACGTATTTGGCTAAATAGAGTCTTGGCTTTATAGCTGATGTCAGTTCGTGATAAGAACCCTAAATCGAATTCCTAACCCTAACCATCGACTGTAAATCATAATCCTTATTCTTCAAACTGCTTTATAACCCTCATTTAGCTCTAATAAAAAGGCAGACACTCTCAAGATCATTTCAACGTCGCTCAAAAGGTTGTCCATTAATTATAGTCTCACCTAAATTTTTATTTCAACAGTCAGTTTAAGTAAGTAAAAAAATCGCCTCCTATAGGTTTTACAAAGAAACTTAAGCCGAGGTTCATTCCATGCTGTTTTTTATGCTAAATACGTTTGGTTTCAAAAGTTTTATACTCAAAGGAAGTCATTTACCTTACACGGTATATTCGTTTCTTAACTAACTAGTCATGTAGTCTCGAAATGGATAAAGTCTAAAAAACATTATCCTCTAATAATCTACATAAGTGAGCTATTTTATCAACATTCTTATCAACAATTTTTTGTGATAAAAAGTAGTTTGGTTACAGCAAGAATAAATTGGTCTGAAACGAGTTATTAATTATACAAGACACGAGCATCTGGTTATTAGTATATGACGCATAAAATAATTTAATGATGTAGATGGTTGTTTCACGTTTCTATGATATGACAGTCATATGTCTTGAATTATTCCCTAGAATTTTCAATCAAAATTATGAATTCACCAAAAACCAGCATTAAACAATTTTATATGTAGGAACATATGTACATTACTCAATAGTACCACATTTTGCATTAAAAAGATGATAATCAAGAAGGTGAAAATAACAGTAGTATCGGTAACAGTGGAAAACTTATCATTAAGAATAAACTTTTCAGAAAATGGACGGAATCAAAAGACTGGAAGCATGGAATAATTTAAGGCTAAGGATTAAGTTGAGCGTAAATAACGCCTATGCTTGTGCCACTGTAACTGATTTACAGTGATGGAGAGTGATTTTGTCAGTCTTTAATTACAATTACCGCATAGTTTTAAAAAAGAAAGCCTATACCTTTTGGCGAAACCAGGGCTGAGACTATGTAAATATACAAAATGAATCCGCTTCTTGATTTGCATGACCTCAGTTATTTCCCGATTCACTCTCATACAATCTATGACTGAACAACAAGGAAAGAGGTAGCATGATATGCGTGCCATATAAACTAAACACCTCAGGTGAAAACTTTTTTCGTACTCTTCTACGAGCTTTTCACATTGCTGTGACTACCCTTCACCTGCCTCGGCATATCCAGCTTAGTCTTTCCATTTACACGTATATCGATTCAGGTTGAAGGACAGTATTTTAGCAAACATTTCTTCCAACCTGTATTCCATGCTTCCCAGCAATCAAATAATACAGAGCAATCCAAAGCATTTTCATTGATATCTGTGATGTTTTTCAGTAAATTGTCTGAACATCTTTTGAACAAAAAGCTCATTTCATAAAGTAAAGTGATGAGTATCGTAATGAATTTGAAGTGAAAACTAACAAAGAATACTTTGTGAAGCACCCATCTATTTCAACAGGGATCGATCAAACGTTAGGCATTATGCATAATTTGGTCCTTAAGTTTTAAGGTATTTGGTAACCCTCAAGCCCAGCAGATAAACTTACACCCTAAATCATGAACACCCAATAATTGACTTAAATTTTTAACTTAATATGTGAATCCGTTTCTAGCATGTGTAACTCATACATAAGTAGTATCGATAACATAACTCAACAACTGCAAAAACCGGATATGCGAATTACGATACTAGCAGAATAAGACTTTTAAACGATAATTATACTCGATGGCGGTTTGAATCTACCAAATACCTCCGAAAAAAATCCAAATGACAATTTTAAAACCAATGTACAGTTACATTGATAAAAATCAACATGACGTTACTCAAGATACAATATCGTGGAATGCGTACATTCCTGTATATCAGTATGTATATACGAGGACGTCTTTTTACCACTGTGCGCGTAGGTTAAGGATTTTAAATTGGTCTGAACTTCCTGTATTGCTTCATAAAAGTTTATGGAATCTAGTCACTCTCATGTAACGATAAATAAATCCCCAAAATAAGTGATATTGTGAGCCGTCAACATTTGATATCGAGTTCATTAATTTTAGTGAAGACACCTCATCTAGGTGCGCTTGGTCAGCTGTCTGCATCAGATCACGAGCAGGTACCCCGCGCTACGCATCCCATGGAGCTACTAGCCACCTTAGATCAGACGTTTCTCAATACATTGACAATTTTACGATGTATATATATATATATATATGTATATGTACAATCGGACTGACTCATTCCCGACTGAGTCGGATACTTTTGGTCATAAACATGTTACAACCAGAAGTGTTCTCAAACCCTGAATATATTTTCCGTCTTTACTCACTGCATGTCCACAAAACGTTTTGTTGCGCCTTTGATCAAAAGCAGAAGCAGTTGATAATTACAAGCTCATAGAAAAACACTATGTAATACTTCAATATCAGTAGCTTAGAAATTAAAAAAATCACCTACGTACGTGATTTAGTGTTTGGATTACTTTCCTTGTTTTGTTTAGATTTCTGCCTTGAAGCCTCGGAACTCTTGATATCTTTGTTTTCAGAATATGCGAATTCCGAGTCCGTTTCATAGGTCTCACTACAATCTGGTGTGACTTGATAATTTGGCAATAAGTTACACATCTGGATATAATGTTATCTGAAGTATGGCGTTTAGAACCATCCCAATGACTGACCTTTTTACTATTTGTCAATGTATTCTACAGTTGAATGAACTTGTTTCGTGACGATATCCGGTACCTATATCATCTTAGGTCGATAATATAGGATGACATCGGGTTTCTACGCAATTCTAAAACGCGCTTATTGCGTAACCAATTTTCACCTTGAGGGAGACGGATTGTAACACAACCATCATGGGATCTGATGTATGCAATATATTTGCATAAGCCGACTGATTTCTTCGTTTCTAATCCTCATTATTTTTTCGACGGTTACAGATCTTTGATGGTATTCGATGGACTGAATCTGGCTACTCAATTGTAACGAATATAGTCAGTTTGTTATTTAATTGTGGGTCATATGTTTGGTTGAGCTTATGATGAATGAGTTGAGTATGCTAATGGAGATTGACTTTAATGTGATATTAGGTATCTGTTTTGCTGGTTCCGTTGGTTGATTCAGTTTGCTGCAAGCATAACTTCCGGAGCCACGGGCGAGGAAGACTAGATATGAGCCATTAGAATTGCTGAAGCACTACAATATCATAGTGACGTTGGACCGAGCTACTACAGATATCACACTCTAGTGCTGGCTAGCTGGTTTAAACTAATGACATGGATGCGAGAAGATTATCCTTATTCTTGAACGTCTTACTACCGACATTCTCAAACTGTTTTCCTAATCGGTTCCTATATATTTGAGTCCGTCTACACATCGACAGAACACTTGAGAGAAAGCGCAAACTGGAAGCAGAATATTTGGCCTTCTGTGGACTCTGATAGGGGATAGTTTCTTGGCTGCTCCAACACCTTCCCTCATTTGAATATTATGATATTTTCCTCACGTCTGCTCGTAAATTGATGACTGATTAACTGCCTTCTTTTTTTAATGTTTCTCATCCTATTTTCCCCTGTGAATTCCTTTTAATTTCATCCGAGGCTATTATTTTGTAAGTGTCTGTATGTATATGCGGTAGCAGATTGTCTTGACTATCTCAAGTGGACACATTTCTTTCATCTTTACCGATTTGGTACTAACGTCTAATACGTATTAGGAAGGCTCACCATGCTTTATACAAAACTATGCTCATTCTTTTAACATTTATCCATGGTTCCCATAAATTTTCGCCTTGGTATAATATGGCAAATACTTTCCTCCCAACCTTAAAACTTTGAATATAACTACACTTTCTGTGGCCATGCAGATTTTCGGTTGATAACTTAACATTGAAAATTGTCCGGTTGCTTCTCTCAAACATGTCATCGACTGATGACTTCTAATCTGGAATATCAAGGTCTAGGGTAGTTCTGCTAGATTATAAGAACTCTGTGACTGTTTGGCTCAGCGTCTCCTCGTTTTTACCTTTAACCATGGCGCGTCACAATTCCTCCACTAAGATTTCTGCCCTGCAGCGGAATAAGCATGGCAGGGTGAAGGTCGTGTGTTATCATATTCACAAAACGAAACTGTTTGAGTGTATGAGTAGGGAAACGAGTCATTATCTTTAACCAAGGTCACTGGCACACCGATATATCCAAACAAACCAGGCACTTTTTCGACAGTTTCTTTGTCTATACACTTCGGCATAAAACATAATTTCAGCCACTGTGTAAATAGATCCGCATTAACTAAAAACATGTTCCCTAAAGCTAGAGCTGAAATATATGCATGAATACAATGTAGTCACTGAAATGACCTCACAAACCAACGACCATAAGTGAGCAATGTCGAACAACGTATTGTAAGAGTTCTCCTTCAAAAATGACAGCTTATGCCTAATTCCTCTTATGTTTTGTGATTTTTGGTGGCTTATTTGATAGCTTTGAAGATGACTAGTAATTCGTCCGTCCGTCACCACGCGATGAACTTTTTTTAGTTTTATGTTTGTCGCAAGAGTGTCTACCAAAATTTTTCCCTTGGAACCTTTTGATCTCGATAAGGTATCAGCTTGTTCAAAGACTGAGTACACAAATACGAGGTACCGATATCGTAGCCTGGAATTGGGATTCTTTATCAGTGTAGTCAGTTTGCTTTGTGAACAGGAATTCACTTTCATGACCAAAACACGGTTTGAAGTGGTTTATGCTTTGTCAGGATGGTGAATGGATTTCTTCCCAACATTGTGTGAAAAAGGTATAGGGTTCTCCTTGCTGGGTTTGGCTATAGTCACGTACTGCCGTTGTGAATGATTTAATTCATAAGAAGTCATTATTACAGATTCATCGGTAAAGATATGAGAACTAACTAACACAATACGATAACTTGAAGCACATGGAGCACCTACAATAGGTAAGGAAGTATCGTCATGTCCAGAACTAAGTTGATCTTATAGTAAACCATACAAAAGTATGTGGATTATTCTCGTTTTCCATTCCTTACCTGTAGGCGTTTCAGTGGAGGACATAAGTGATGCAGATCAAGAACGATACGCAGTAATGTTTTGACAGACGGTGTCAAAAATGTGATACTAAAACTAACTGACTAATTGAGTGACAACACAAGCTCTAACGTGAATGTGTTTTGAACTACGGAATAAAGTGGAAAAATACTCATTCATATATATCCCACTCTAATCCCCAAGATATTGATCCATTTCTTAGCCAATGAAATCAACTTGTCCTTTAGGTCATTTCTGACTGCCATCAATCGACTCACTCATATGGCTTTATCTGTTTGGCTCTTCTTATCAAATGACTAACTGATCCCTCGAGATGTTGTACTGTAGCAACATCCGCTGGCCTAGGGACAGTTTTTCGAGCTCCAGTATTCGCTGGATCTGGTCATCATTCGTCTTTGTTTACTATGAACTCGCTATATCGTAACTGTTTCCTAAGCTACTATGAAAGTTAAACAAATATTCTATGGAGTCTCCTAATCCATCCTAGAAAACTGTTTTCATTAGTCTCCTATAACCAGAGAGCAGTACATGAGGTGACAACAAACACCAAACGAATCAATTAAAGAGGTGTAGAACATTAAAAATAAAAAATAAGAATAATCATTGACGAGCAACAACCTCTCAATCATCCGATTTCGGGGAGAATTCTATGCATTTCAAGGAAGCTGCAATATGGATTTTTGGAAAATTTATACCTTGTCTGAAGTTTTTCCATGAAATTGAGAGTTATTTAGGAGAAATCCTCAAGACCTTTGAGAAAATTCATGGTGTTCCTCAATATTTCATCAGAGCTGGTGTAAGACTACGAATTTTTATATAGCTTTGAAGAATATTGCCGAAAGGTTTTCAAAATCCGGAGACTTTGTATATTACGACTTGAAGCCCTCGATACTAAATATTGCAGTTAGTGGTATTTCTGTAGGATATAGTTTGCAATGTTATTCCAGTCAAAGTTATTGGGATCCGCTTGGTGATAAAAAACTTAAAAAAACAACAGTTTTTCAACTAACCTTAATTTTACTGGTTAATACATATCCCCTGACTTTGAGGTAGTCTTGTAGTTTTCCACAAAGTCAAGTGAAAATTTTTATTTTTACCAACGCTTGCAGAAAGTTTGAGAAAAATTCAAGAAATTCGTTTGGTGCAGTTCTGTGAAGAAAAATTTACTTTCCAGGCTATTCCTTAAGTCCTTTTACGACATCATTATACTGATATTTTGTCACATGTTTACCTAGTTTACTACGCATTCAAGTACCAGTGATTTGTCCGTGTTCGATGTATCGAAACGTTCATAGTTTTCAATCTTACCAGTATAAAACAAACTAATAAGTATATTTTCATAAAACCAAAATATTATTTTTTACCTGAGGAAATATCAGAACAAATCCTAGATATCTAAATATCAGACAGTACTAAGTTGACACACGCATGAACAGTGCTCATCCTGAATGAAACCGACCTTCATAGAACATTGGTCTACTCTTGGTGGTGGTACTTTGATTGTATCACTCGAAAAATGAATGTATATTATCCATAATGCAAGAAGTACAAGATATGACCCCGGTGTCAAATAAGTAAAACCTTACTAAGTGTGTTGTCAATCTTCTTTAAAACCGAGGTTACTGCTCATAACCGTATAGAATGAGAAAAAATTCTGAAAGACTTACACTTTAATGAACTGGAGCTTCAGTAAACCACAACAAGTACTGAACTTTACTACAGTTATGGTCCTGTATGTTGTTAAAATGGGAAAGACAGATGTTTCAGAAGTAATGTCGAACTGTTCGTATTAACATTTTCGATGTTTTCGCATTCTTATAATCACTAATTTTCCTTTATGGCTTTTATCGGTTTTGTGTGCTTCAGATGGTAAGATATCACTTTATGTCACTAGATATTTAACTTATTTATTAATAACAGAATTATAAGCAATTAACTCCTCTAGCAGCTCTGCTAAGGTTGCTGCCGGTCCAAAGCCTCTACAAAGGAGGACAGGAGGGCACGGAGTCAGCAAACCCATCCTGCAGAACACAACGCTATTAAAAATACGCAGACAAAAATATTCAATTTAGACTCTGATTGTAATTAGAGAACAGTTTTGTAGATATTATAGTAATTTAATTGTTGAATTCATAAGTCAATTGAAACTAGACCAACGTGGAAAGACTAAAAGTACTGGACGGCCGTTTTGTCCTAATATGGGACTACCCCGTGGCAGTGCGTATCCACGATCTCACCTCGCGAGATTCAAACTCAGGACCTTCAGTCCCTCGCGCGCGAACGAGACAGTTGTCCAACGCTTCCAGATTTTCAATGATTGTCTTAAATTAATCTACTCATGATCTCAATCCGTAAAACTAGTAATCTCTACAGCCTCATACTGATCATAAGTGTGTTGTGTTTTTTTTGTTTATTGACAGGAAGTAGCGTTTTAAAAATGATTAACACTTTCATTTTCCTAATGATTTTATTTAGATTATTAACACTAGTTGAGTATCCTCTTTTTTAATCGTTTATTATATAACAGAAAACACTTATTAACACTTTCATGTTTATTATATCTAATTGATATGAATTTCTTATTCATTTCACATGAAATTAGTTCATGTATATAACCTTGAAGTATATTTATATTAAAGTTTAGTGTGAATGAGTAGTATTGTGAATTTAGTTATAGCTGACTTGATTGTTTCCTCCTACATCGAAATTAACAGTTTTGTTATGTGTGAATTTATTGTAGAATGATCTTAATTTAGAAGTAATATTGTTTAATTGTAAATGTCTTATTCATCACTAAAATTGTCTGTCTCTATTTTTCCACCTAATATGTTCTTTGGTCTTCCTCTTCTCCTTGAGGCCTTGAGGATTCCAAGTGAGGGCTTGCCTTATGACGCAGTTCGGTGCTTTCCTCAATATTGTTTTATCCACTTCCAGTGCTTCTTCTTCCTGACTTCTTCCTCTGCTGGGATCTGATTTGTTGTCTACCACTGTAGATTGTTGCAGATAGTGTCAGGCCAACGGATCCGAGGTATTTTATGTATGCAACCGTCAATAAACACTTGTATCTTCTAGATGATGACTGTCGTAGTTCTGCAAATTTCCGCCTCATACAGTAAAACTCTTGATATCTGTATTGAAAATTCCGATTTCGGTGTTGGTTGGCAGTTAATTGAAGTTCCAGATGTTATTCAATTGTAGATATGCTGCTCTTGCTTTATCGATCCGCGCTTTCACATCTGCATCAAATCCACCATGTTCATCAAAGATGCTGTCTAGATATATAAAGATTCTACATCCCTCAAAGCTTCTCCGTCATGTGTGACTCGACTGGTGCATGTTGTGTTGTATCAGAAAATCGTGCTTTCACCTTTGTGTATGATGAAACCTAGTGCTTTTGCTATACTAGTTGTCGTCTTCTACATTTATTATTGCGTGTGCGATAAAAGATCCAGATCAACTGAGAAGTCAAAAGCCTTAACTTCATCTCATCTAAAAGTTAAAAGTCTTATGACAAACATAAAAAACGTTTAAGACTTCAAATCAAAATTAAAATGATGATAATTCCTTTTAAGTCAACTATTAGCTTAGAATTAGCATTATTAATAGTCAATTCATTGAATGTTTCTGTAAAATACAGTCTCTAAATACAATGTTAAGAAATCAGTCTAGAAGTTATTCTTCAGTAAGCATTAGTATTGATTATTCTTTCATGAAGTATACTTAAAGGGAATATTTTATAATTTAGGCTACGTTTTCTTATGAAACAGTTTAACTTAAAGTATCTGGGTTCTAAGTCACTAAAATAGTAGATGTATATAATAAGCTAAATGCATAGTAAGTTTATAATATTGTAATGAACAAGAACACAGTTGGAGATAATCAAATGTACTATAACATAAAATTATGTAGATAAACTCTAGAGTAACAGAATTAGTAGCACTAGTAGTAGTGATGAAAACAATAATAATGATAGAAATGATAAACTATACACGATATTCTTTATGAAGAAAGAATTGATTTATAGGGTAGATGATATACATGATAATTATAAAACTGGGGATATAAAGAAAACTAGAATGAATCCGCCTGAATCATTTCAACTTATTCGTAGGGATGTCACCTAAAGTTTCCAATCGTTAGTTACGACACTCATGCAAACTCTAACTGATGCTACTTTAAGTCCAGCTAGTTATCACTTAATTTATTCGCCAATCGAAATACGGCTTATTCACTCTTGTACTGTACTAAACCAGTGACGTTCAATCGGTTTGATCAGTCTAGCATCCTATTGGTCTGTTGCTCGCCTAGCCCAACCACTTTAGTCCAGAATACCAATAACAGACTCCACTATGCGAATCAATTATTTCAGACGTACTTGGTTCATATACCAGCCAAGCTGACCGCATCGCACCATAAAATAGGAAATAACATTTATACAAAATAAAGCCAAGAAAGTGGCTAAGACTGTGGGAGACGGTAATTAACAAAGTGAACATAATTAAAGAACAGTAAATCTTATAATAATAGTCGATAGGTTAAAATGAAGTTTATAATAAGGGAAATATAGATATATATAATCTAGTTACTGAATAGTTATACCATAAGAATATATAGATAATACTAGTCCATTAATAGTTCTACGAAGTTACCCGTAATTTAATCTCCACTAGGATATAACACCAACCACTCATTCTGCACCAATCTACATCATAAGTCTGACAGTTAGTTGCTTCATAATCACACTTTCAGCCAAATGTAATCTCTTAGTTATAAACTCTTAATATTTAGAATCTCACTTATATGCTGGTACTATTGTAGCGAACAAGGAACACGAGTGGGGACAATCGTACGTATTTGTGCACAAAATTACAGCACATCTTAGTAAAATCTGAGAACCATACAGTAAATAGTTAATTTGCAAAATATCAATCAATTGTCTCAAACTTGACTGTTCCTTTTGCAAATATCAGTCAATCGTCTCAGACTTCACTATTCCTGAACTTTTCACGTTCTTCCCTTCTTGATCTTCTCAATTTTCTTCTGCCAGAAATTCTATTGCTGACTCGCGTTATATACTACTTATACCGATATAAGTATATATATATATATATATATATATATATATATATATATATATATATATATATATATATATATATTCAGAGAATTAACCTCTGTGTTAAGTATCAGGTATTTATCCGTTGGTCGGGTATCATCAGCAACAGCCTTCTATAAGACAGAACAAACCAACTTCCATCTAAACAGGAAGTTAGGAAAAGACGTAAATAAATAAGATTTACAGTGAAGAAATCAGCAAACTACATCATGAAGAAAGCCCCAACTTGAAATCCTGAAGGGAAACGGAAAAAATGAAAGCCGAAGAACATACTACGTCGGGAGTTGGAAGCAGATATGAAAAGGATGAATAGCAACTGGAAAAGATCGTCCAGGACAGAGTGGGATGGATAGTGCTGGTTGATAGCCTATGAACCTCCACGAAGGGTAAAAAGAGTAGGTAGATAATTATAAGATATTTAACAATATTTCTGACATGGTGGATAAAACTGAATTGGATCTTTTTTGATCTTCTAAGATCAAATGGTAAATGAGATGCAATTATTTTTTGGTTATTTTATAAATCATTAAATTATTCATTTACCCAATGATAATTTGACAGTATGTTAGTTTTGAGGTTAATGAAGATAAACATGATTCAAGAAAATATCTTGTTTTCTAATAGTATGGAGGATTCCATTGATAAAATCAAACTAACAACGTACTACAACAAGTAAAAATGTTCACAAATTAAAAGTATATCATCATAGCACTTCAAATGAGACATAGTGTTTTGAAAATTTGTTCCTTCATCTCCTACTATACTATGCAGGTTAGTTGAATAATGAATAGACAAAAAGAAGAAAACTTATAATCTCACGGTAAGTGATATTGTCAACTATACTAAGATATAACAACAGTAAGATATGCTACTTTGTCATAACAGAAGAAAACGTTGTATGAGATCAGCTATACATAATCTTACCAGCAGATTTTCGTCCCCATATGAAGCTAATGTACCTAAAATCACTGATTTTCAACGATTGTGTTATCGATCACAAAAATTGATATCATTTAAGCTTTCCATTTATACTTTCAAATTGTCATGATCATTGTCAAATCAGTTTATTTCTTAGATATTTCATGAAGACAAATATCTTAACACGATATATTCAATCAACTCAATAAGAACAATCCTTCTTACCTTGAATAGCTATTCCAATGATCTTGATCATGTTATAAATAATCGATTATTCAATGATTCAATACTACAATTACAAGTTTCATCAAATCTCTTTCTTTCTTGTTTCTTTTTCTTTTAATAAAAGTTGTTAGTTGACAAATACAAATGATTTAAATAAGCAAAACAAACTTGTTTACTTTAATAATTATATAAACAATTAAGGAAAATGATGAATAATAAAATTTAACAATCAATTAAATGAACTTTATCTCTTTCTTTATTTATTTTAGAAAAAAAAGAAAACAAAAAAAGAAAAAAAAGTTTGCTAAACGTTCTTTTTTTCTTTTTCTTTTTTTTCTGCATACACACAGTATGTTCTTTTTTGTTTTATTACAGATTAACCACAAAAAATGTAGCATAAAAGTAATCATTGAGAATTGAAAAAAATTTCCACACACAAAAAAAATAAAAATAAAGAAAAAACAATTTAATGAATAAAACACACAAAAAAAATTCATGAAAACAAAAATTAAAAAGTAAATAATTTGAAATATAATGACGTAATAGTTGTTTTTCTTTTTTTCTTCTTCTTTTGGCTTTGTTGAAATTTTGGAAACAGAGTATAAGCAAGAAATGTTGATGAAACAATTACAATTATACATGTATATTCACATCAACTTCTACTACTACTACTACACACAAACACATCTACACACCTTTGATTTATTCATGATTATTAAGGTAAAAAAAACATTAAAATAAAATAATAATAAAAAAAGAAAGAAAGAAACGAAGATCACGATGAGACTTATCTTCATGGAAAGTATAAACATGTTGTTTTATTTATTCCTTTTTTTAATGTGTCATATTGAGATCATTTAGAAAAATCGAAAAATGCATTTGTATACTATTTATCAATGTGTGTATGCGTACGTGCGTGTGTGTGTGTGAGTTTTTCTTCTATTATAAAAATGCAAGATTTTCGATGACCGTCATTTTTTTTCCAATATTATATCCATGAAAAATCTTAAAATACATTTACAATTACAAATAAATAAATAAATAAATAAATAAACATTCAAACAAAATAAATGCCAGTCATGTTTGTTTGTTTTGTATTAAGTGTTCAATTCAATGAACTCATTACAAAATTAAAATCATACACTTGTGTGATATTAGCAGTAAGTATATATGTAATGAGTATTTTGCATCTCCCTGCAATATATATATATATATATATATATATATATATATATATATATACAAATCAATATTAAATGATCATAAAGTATATTACATTTCAGTAATAGATTAGATTTTAAACGAAATCAACAAAGTTCAAAGAACGAGATAGAGAGACAGTTTTTTTATTGTTAAAACATTAAAATATTATTGACTAGGACAATAATATTTAATCTATTTGTATACAAAAAGTAACTAGACAATAAAATAAATGAATAAAGAGAAAAAAAACAATTAACTAGTTTATAATTTATATTTTGTATTTATCTATTTATCATTAAATTCATTTTATAATGGTATTATTTTAGATTATTTTAATTTAGTTACATTATTACTATGACGACTACTACTACAACTATTAATACTAATACTATGACTACGTGGACGATAACGATTTAAAAGTTCATTTTTGATTGGTCGATCAATGGACCAATCAGAATAAATCATATTTGATTTTTTTATCATATTTAAACCTGAGATAGATGATGTTAATTTATTATTATTATTATTATTATTATTATTATTATTATTATTATTATTATTGTGACATAATTCATTTTTAACATTGAATGAAAGATTCGTTGAATTAGTATAATTTGTATTCGATATAGAAGATATATTAGTAGGTGTTATATTACAATTATCTATTTGATTGATATTATTATTTTCATGTATATTATGATTAGATGAATAGGATAGAATATGAAAATTATCATAACTTGTTGATTGTAAACGATCATGTTTATTGATATGATCATAATCATGATGATATGATAATGAATATTTAGGTATATTATAATACAGAAATGAATGAGTTGAAGTATTATTCTCTTCTGATGATAAACCCGGTATAAGTAATGAATTGATTGTATGATTTTGTTGATTTAGTTGAGGTGAATATAATTGATTTGATTGTGATATAACATAATAATTAGATGATGATGATGTTGTTGATAATAATGAATGATTTAATAAACTATTAAAACTATGACCATAATTGTAGGATGGATATAAATGAGTTGGATTGATTTTTTGATGATCTAATAATGTTTCGTCATAGGGTTGACGACAATATGTTGTATCTAGGTGGTCATAATTTGATGGAATCAATAAATCACTTGTTGATGAGGTGAATAATATTCTTGGATGAACAACTTGTATCATATTAGAATTATGATTTGTCATTGTATTATTCATTTTATCTTGTATATTTAATAATGATATTGTAGACATAGTTGTATTTGTATCATTATTATTATTGAATTGATTTAATGTAAATGTTAATTTAGGTAATATAGTTGGTTGTAAAAACCATTCAGCACGTTTTGTTAAATTTTCCATTTGTCTACGACGTAATGAACGATAACGTGATTGATTACGTCGAAGATTGATAGGATTAGAATAGAAATTTGTATTAATTTCATTTGTTATATGATTATCTAATTCATTATGTACATTGACTTTAGAATATGATGAAAATTTTACATCTTTACATTTAGTTCTTTTGTTACATCCCGATGACTAAATTAAACAAAACAAAAGAAGAAAAAACATCAAGGAATGTTCATAAAATGTTCAAAAGATTACTATGGTGCTGTATGTGCTACTCAAATCGACAAAAATAGTATATGATGTTAGTCGTGAATAGAATGTCTGGCAGCAGATAGACAAGGGGATCGAACAGTAAAGAATGGAAACACAATGCAATTTGTATGAAAATGCAAGAACAATGAAGTCTGAGTCATTTTGAGACAATTAGTGGACATTTTGCAAATTAAGCATTTACTATTTGATTGTTAGATTTCATTAAGATACTCTGTAATTTTGTGCTTAAATACGTTCGATTGTTCCCACCCGTGATCTGTTCACTACATTTGGTGGCGCTGCCAATCAGGAGAGGGGAAGAGTGCTGTTCTGTGGACGACATTCTGTTCTGTCAACAACTAAATACTTACATGAGTGAGACATTTCATTAAAAGACATAATAACATCATGGAGATTTACGAATTAAAACACAATTGTATGAACGAAGAATATTCTTTTCAATAATTTCCCATCAGGTTCTACAAATTATAAATCCAGATTAATAATCCGTAATCTGGATTCATAATTGTAGAACCTGATGAGAAATTATTGAAAAGAATATTCTTCGTTCATACAATAGTGTATTAATATAATGGGAATTTTTCAGCGATTTACGAATTAAAGTGTTATATGGTTAGTATTCTTAATAGTTGAAATCATAAGTCCATTGAAGACAGACCGACAGCAGTCTCATTGGTCACTGGCTTCACAAGAGGTATTTTCTGGAGTCCTAGTGAGAAGCAATGACCAGTGGAGTTCAACCAGGTCTTTTGAGAGATAGTAACTCACTGATGACAATGGTGGATGTCCCACTCAATTTCGTGGATTATTTCAAATTAGACATTAACACCGTTGGATGCCGGCCACCACAGTGGTCTAGTGGTAAAGCATTCGCGCAGTACACTGATAGGTCCTGAGTCCAAGTCTCGCGAGTCTAGATTGTGGATGCGCACTGTCACGGAGGAGTTCTACAGTAGGATGAAACGGCCGTCCAGTACTTCCAGGTTTTCCATGGTGGTCTAGCTCCAAATATATCGTGATATCAATTACTAAAATTATTATAATATCCACAAAACCCCTTCTGAGGTTAGTATTTTATTGATGATTAGATCTGCGCATTGGTATGTAAGTCCTAAGTTAATGGTAAAATAGTAGTTATCCGATACAAACTAGGTACCTATGAATACATAAAATTTATTCGGTCACAAATAAGACAAGTTCATATATTGTGTTAGGCATCTCTTTTCAGAGAGTTTGATTAAGTGAGAGAGTTATTATAAAGCGTTTATTCATCTGATCAAGATTACAGCTTATACGTTGTTGTTTTTTTCAATCAATCTGTTCATTTAGACAAAAATTATGTAGCCATTATTATTCAACTTTTGTGAATACATATATTGGTCTCTATTTGGCATGTAATTGCGTTGACCAGCCGTTACTAAAGTTTTAAGTGACTGAATCGAAGAGCATACCATCATATTATATCACAAAATATTATAACATTGGGAAATAGGTATATTTAGCTACTGGGTTACAAATAAAATAAATTTCACTTCTAGCCTTAATCCAACTTTAATAAACACTTAAGGATATATGGTAATATCAAGGCAATCTCCTCAAAATGCATATTTGCCAAAAGAGATTTAGCAGTTGGAATCCTTAACACAAATCCTAAGAATTAAAATCTTTCAGCAATACATAGCAAAAAGCGTAGATCAGCTACATCTAGTAAACACATGGTGATTGTTTACTATGTGAGGTTGTGAATACTGTTGAATATTCTAGTTTACATTACGGACCGATCTTATTATTACTGCTATTCATTATTATTAATAGCAATCATTGAAATGCATTAAGGATAGGATAGCTGTTTCATCCTAGTACGAGACTCTTTGAATAAATGAGCCTTATAACTCTCGGTTGTTTTTAACTTCTATGCCTATGGATAGATATCAATTTGAGCAAATCACCACCTCCAAACTTTTGATAGTTCGTCGCAAAGTATTGAAGTCACAGGTTCGACATCTGATCAAATTATCAATGTATACTAATAAGGAATCCAAGAGAAAGATGAAAGTGTTCAGTACTTCCTGATCTTCATCAGTTGTGTATTTAAATTTAGTTCATAATTGACGATTACAAATTCATCCTTATCTAGAAGTTCGCATACACAACTTAGTTCTTATTTTATAAGATTACTTTTGTATCTGTGAAAAGCATCAACGGAAGATTAAATTATTCCTTTTTCCATAAAGAGGACTTGAATGTCTATCGACTCACATCTTTTTCATACCAAATCACATCAACAACATGAAATAAGTAAGATGAATAACAGAGAAGTTAAAATTAATATCGTGTTTATGGAGTTAGAAAAAGTCAAAAAAACACATGATAGTTTTCCGAAAAGAGGGAATTATTCAATGTTGAGAAAAAACCAAACAGAGAGTGAACACAACTCGGCCTCTATGACAATTAGTTAGGAACAATTGTTATGATTATTGTTTACATCCCAATCCATATCTATCAATACTATTTACACTAAAATCCTTTATTGGACCTATAACTGACTCCAATTGGATTGCATGAATGATTGCAATCAAAATATATGTGCCATCTACCCTCGTATATAATTGACGATTTAGTTCACATTAGAGAATAACGGAATAAAATAAGTTAAATACGAGAATGACGTTTGAATACGTATTTTTCGTTTATTTATTGATCTGGATACCTACTAGTATTCGATTATAGTTATCTTCTCGTATATCCTGGGACTACCGAGTAAGTAATGTAGCTGTTAGGAAACGAGCACTAGGTAAGGATGGCAAGTCAATTGATAAAGTAGTGAAACTTCATCAGTTTAGATAGCTGGGACACGTGTTACGTATGCCCAACCACCGAATGCCCCAATATACGATGTTTCATGGTGTAGGAGTAGGTTGGAAGAAGGCCTGGGACAGCCAGATCAGAACATGATACAAATCCATGAAGTCACTGACAAATGGACTGAGTTATGCTCGTAGGTGTAGATTGCCTGGTTGAGGACCGCGAGATGATAGTAACCGATGGTTAGAGACCTTGAACGACACATGGCTCAAAATGGTTTGCAATGGCGCAGGTGCATCTACTCTCTGTGTTCTCCCAAATTATAATCTTCTGAATTCTTCATGTCCCTTTATTTTCTTCTCTGTTCTAATTTATTTCACTCAATTATACTCCTTGAATAATATCTTCAAACCCTAATGTTTCCGATTACTGCTTATAAACTTACTACCTCGACCACTATGGGATTTGAATTGACAACTGCATCTCTGTGCTAATTTGGTGTGGCAATTCGAACTGATGTACGTACGTACATCCTGTCTGCCAACTCGACTGAATCAAGCGTAACTCAATAATTATATTAGGACAAAAATAAATTACAGAACCATAATGACTAGGGTGAGTTATTAACACACATAGGATCACATAAAAACAGTCACGGTTAACAAATGAAGTAACAAGACCAAAATGTGGCTTGAGAAGAATGAATAGAATAGTCTGTCTAGAAGCTAGAATAACCTATGTGATCTTGACATAGTACGAGCCACCACAATCCGTTCATAGATTGACAGTATTATCTTAGTTTAAGAGTCACTAAATCTTTGTCAGCTGACTTCTATGCTGATAGTTAGTGCCAATAAAAAAATATTCTGTATAATGGAATTTTGTACATTTGTTACCTTAATATAAAAAATAATCAACTTACATCCGTGAACGATACAAGTGATACATCAACAGGTTGATCAATGATTGTTTCTGTCTGTTTATTTTGATTATTAGTTTCATTGGTATTTTGATAGAATGATGACTCTATGGATGCTTCACGATGTATTGATAAATATTGTTTTGATTTTTGTAATTGACGTGTTGAATCTTTTAATGGGAAACAAAAATGTTTAACTGATGATGTAATTGATGTTGGCGGTGATGTTTGTACATCATTGACATTATTATTATTATTATTAACGGTAATATTAGTGGGACTAGAATTCTTTAAACAGAAAAGACGTCCAGCAGCATTTATTAAACGAGTTGAATAAGCTGATTTAGGATAAATCATAAATGAACAAGATTCTGAACGTGTAGTATTACCTTGATTAAAGAAAAAGATAATTACAAAAGTTAACACATAATATAACTGGTTAATGACATAAATAATTTTAAAAATAAAGAAAATTCTCTATACTAGTATCTATGATTAAGAAATATATAATCTCAACCATTGATATTCTTATAGTATGCACAGAAACCCCTTCTGATATAAGACAACATATGCTCACTGGTGACTGGCTTCACAAGAGGTATTTTCTGGAGTCCTAGTGAGAAGCAATGACCAGTGGAGTTCAACCTGGTCTATTGAGAGATAGTAACTCACTGATGACAATGGTGGATGTCCCACTCAATTTCGTGGATTATTTCAAATTAGACATTAACACCGTTGGATGCCGGCCACCACAGTGGTCTAGTGGTAAAGCATTCGCGCAGTACACTGATAGGTCCTGAGTCCAAATCTCGCGAGTCTAGATTGTGGATGCGCACTGTCACGGAGGAGTTCTACAGTAGGATGAAACGGCCGTCCAGTACTTCCAGGTTTTCCACGGTGGTCTAGCTTCATATAACTCGTGATCTCAACTATTAAAATCACTGTGATATCGACAAAACCCTTTATGATACAAATATATGATCCCTCAGTAAAATATTGATATTTAATAATCCATCAAACTGAAGGCAATTGTATGAACTCTTCCAAAACAAATTACGAGACAATTGTTAGCCCTATCAAGAAACGTTATGTAATTTTTAAATTGTCTAATCGAGGGAAATAACACAGTGATATGAATAAACTACTATACTGATAATACACCAGTTGACAGCATATACAAGTAATACTCTCTACAATTTACATCTGATTGATTCACAGAAATATTGAGCATTAATGTCTTTAAGATTAAATTGGAGCTTGATGTCGAATACCAAATGACACGAAAGCTAAGCCTAGCAGAACATTCAGCCGACAACCTGATTACATTTAGCTTTTAACTGAGAATTATTATCATTAAGCAAATATATAACTCGTTATATTCGATAATACTCAAGTAAACTTAGAATAACAAAATACTAATTGATCGAATAACAGAGCAAATTGTCAACGAGACTTATTTATGGACGAACCAATCACGTATAAGATAACAGGTCTTGGATTTTGGCACGGAATTCATTTATCCGTTTGGACAAATAGAGTTTTGGCATTATAGCTGATGTCAATTCGTGATGAAAACTCCCTAAATCCAATTCGTAACCTTGATCATCAACTGTAAATCATAATTGTAATTCCTCACACAGGTTTATGACCCTCATTTGGTCCTGGTTATTAGGTGGACACTCTCAAGGTCAGTTTAGCGTCACTCAAATGCCCTCTATAAATTACTGTCTCACCAAATTGTCCATTTAAATCATTTAAACCATATTGCAAAATGATTAAAAGTCAGTGTGTAGTGCAAAACATTTTATCACATTGACTAATAGTTTAATATGTATTTTCTTAATTTAACTTTCTCATTACCATCTAGTTTAATTTTGATATTATTTTGTCAACTTAAGTCAACCCAATATATATTCAACACCTCATTTTGATCCTGTTGTGCTTCTGAGGTAGATGTTGGTGACTTTGTTTAGAATAACAATAAAAACTATTCACTTAATGTATCTAAGTAGGTAAATGCACATCTACTATAAGCATCAACCTAAGCTGTAAATCTCTATCGTTTTGAAATTCTAGAGTAGAAGCACATTTCTACTTAACCAAAAGTGGGAGACTTTTGTAGGTATGCTAACAACCACGAGGAACCAATTATCATTTCTCCTTAGGAGACCTCATCAATACGTTTCATCAAACAGTGTCAGATATAATCGAACAACCGATTCCTACATTAAAAAGATATTAACTGAACAATTTGTAAAACAAACAGCGAAGTTTAAGATTATAGATTCCTATCATCGCATACGGAAATACTAACATGTTATCAAGATTCTGGCTAGAAAGTTTATGAGAGTATTTAACCGACAACATGTTGTAGTGTCAGTTACTATGTGTTGGGATATTCAGAAAAATATCACAAAAATCATTCTGTTAAGTCTAACGCTATCATTGGACTTGTGATGGTGTCATTTTCCTACTGGTCTATATTGTACAATGTTATTTTCTATTTTGTGGTACGATGTGGTCTGCTTGATTGGTATATAAGCAGAGTGTTTGAAATATAACGATTCATATCTCTGATGCTGAGACTTGTGTTCTGGACTCAACTGACTGGGCTAGACAGGGAAGCGGGACCAATCAGAACCCTAGGCCGTTCTTACGTGTTTGCGCGTCTTTGGTCCGATCGATAATTCACTGTCCTCTAATCTGCCGTCACAGTTATAGCACTATGTTGAGCCCACGTAGCTTATTCTAGTTTCTGGACAAACCAATTTATCCATAGATGGATAGTGGCTAGCAATGGAATTCAGGAGGCGCGCTTCGTCCTATTCGGGACTCGTCAACTGCACCTCAGAATTGATGTTCACTCTGAGAGTCGAACCCAGTACCGTTTGCTTCAAGTGCCATCGTGCTATCCACTTAGCTACTGAGTCTTGATAGCCACCTGGGAAGATACATGTAAACAAAACCAAGTGAAAACAATTTAGCTATTTCTCTTGAGTAGTCACTTTTTGACCTTGTTAATTATTCATTTATCAATCTTGACTGTTATTATATGACCGTATATATGTGTGTACACTTCTTATTCATAACATATCTGTAATCTATTTTTATCTGGCTATAAATATCAATTAACGCTTGATTAAATGGAGTTGGCTCACATGCTTTCTCCACTGACAATCGTTTTACTACACTCTCTTTTCACTTCCTTCGCTTTGTTCCTCTGATTGCTTGTCCAGATCAATGAATGCATGAAATATACTTATACAAAACTTCATTCTCGTATTTGACTTATTTAATTCCATTATTTTCTAACACTATCTAAGTCGATAATCATGTAAGGGGATAAGCCGAAATATGTATATTTCAATAACAATCAATCATACGATCTAATTGAACTCAGATCACAGATTACAATTATATTCATAATAAATATTGAAATTGATTACTTTTAAATAAGATCAAATTTATTGATTAAATAAAATGAAAAGTTTTAATACTTACCCGATTTTGTAATGTTCATTTTTACACCAGGAAAATGATTTGATTTTGATTTTTTTAATTTATAACGATTATCTAATATATCCCAATAGAATTGTGTAAATTGTTTATCCACAACAGGGAAACAAATGACAAGTGATTGAAGTACCTATGATAAAAAATATATGGAAGATTATGTAATCAAAGAAATGCCTATATATATATATATCTTTAACGAATGTTTAATTATGTATGCTAAGAGACAGAATGTATTATGAATAGAGGCATTTTCCAGTATTATGTATTAAAAAAAGTAAAATCCTTCATTCTTAAACTGATATGATTTACAGTATACTGCGCAGCAGTTCGTTCTGTTTTACATTACGGCTGTGAAACCTGGCCATCAAGAGTTTAAGATATTCGTAACCTACTAGTATTTGACAATAGATGTCTTAAAAATATTGCTCAGATTTCATGGGATCATAGGGTAGATAATAGTGACGTTAGACGCACTTCATTAGGGAATTTCGGTAAATCAGCTGATGACGTTGTGAATCGTCATAGACTGAAATGGTTGGATCACATGTTCCGTATGCCTGAACACAATGCTGACTAGTGTTGGGGATGGTTGGAAGAAAGTTAGGGGTGGCCAAACCAAAACATGGCATCAGTCACTGAAGTAACTAACTTCTAGTATATGCCACGTTGGTAGATGTAGACTACACATTTGTGGTCCGCGTGACTATCGTAACCAATGGTTGGAGACTCTTGGTGACATGGCTCACAGTCGATCACAATGGTGTAGGTGTATGCACTCTCTTTCTTTCCTTAAACCATGAGACTAAAATCGCTTCATATCTCTCTTTCTAACAACTCATTCTCTCTTCCTGTACTATGTCCTTAAATGTAGTCTTTCTTTTATATATTACCACTACTGAATTAACTACTTTTATGAATCCGGTGTTCATCTTGTTGTGCCAATGAGGTATGGTGACTAAGACCGATGCACATATGTGCCTGGTCCTATGTTGTACCTGACTGACTGACTGGTCTGATTTAATAGTTGAATTGATGAATCGATTAGAGCTAGACCACCATAGGAAACCTGGAGGCACTTGACGACCGTTTCGTCCTAGTACAGTACTCCTCAGCAGCGCGCATCCACGATCGATCTCGCGAGATTTCAAATTTTCCATGGTGGCCTAGCGTTAGCTTATTTTTGGAAAACTAATGGCTTTAGCAAACAACTGGATCATATAAATATCAGTAACCAATGAAAACAGTATTACTTACATAGGCCAATTCATAGCTATGCCTTAGTATAATTACTGTTTATATTATGTCCAGAAATCTTGATAAGAGAAGCACTAACTATAGCCCAAAGACGTAGGATACTAAATATTCATGAAACATTCATTTAAAAGAGAGAGAGAGAGAGTAGTGTCGAAAAGAGTGTCAAACCTAACAGGCAAGCGGTATAGTTATCATCCCTATGAATTAAATCCTTCAGTTCAGTATTTTTAAATTCAACTTTGAAGAATGATTACTGACACTTAGATCAACTTTCTAATTGTCCAAGGAAAGAAAAATTTCTCTGGGTCACTTTACGAGTCAGTAGAGTGATATGTCCTGGGTTCGAATCTCGCGAGTCGGGATTGTGGATGCCCAGTGCCACAGAGGAGTCTCACAATAAGAGAAAAAAAGTGATCCAGTGTTTCCAAGTTTTCCATAATGATCCACCTTCAATTGACTCATGATCTCAACTATTAAAATGACTATAATATCTACAAAAACCCACTTTTTATATGAATTGACTAAATACTGGCTAATGACCAATGTTTATAATAGTTTACTTATTCAATATTATGTACATATTTTTCAATATAACTAATAATACATAATCATTTGTATTTTAGATTGTATTAACCTAGTTACTGAACAAAAACTAATTACCTAACTCTACCTTGTTTTTTTGGGTTTTGTTTTTCTATTTTTAGAAAAAAACATGGCGGAAACATAGAAACACGTACACGAGTTGACCAAATCGAAATAACATAATTATTAGTAAATAATAAGTAATATAACAATAATAATTTTTTTTAAAAAAGAAAAATAACTTGGGAGAGAAAAAGAGAAGGAAGAATAATTTACAACAACGACAACAAAAAAACAATCAATAATTACAAGGACATTTCTTTAATCTAGGTTACATAAACATATATGTATATATCTATGCTTACTGTTATTAAGAGTATAGAATAGATACATTTATCCTAGATGATATGGCTTAAAATCGATCACAATGGCGTCGATGTATACACAATGTTTTTCTTCCCTTAAATTATGAGATTAAAAATGCTTTATATCTTTCCTTCTGTATTATATTCTTATACATAATATTTCTTTTATATATTACTATCATTGAAGTAGTTACTTCTATGAATTTGTTGATCATCTTGTGTGTCAACTTGGATCAATGCATATGTATATATATGTGCCTAGTCCAATGTTACAGCTGACTGACTGACTAAAAAAATTCAACTAAGATTATACACCATAAGAAATGAAGTTAAATATTCAAATGATTGAGCAATGAACAATTAGTTGGAATTCAGTGATTAGTGAACTGTATTATACATCATATGTTATCAGTATTAATGGTTAGATACTGTTCTTAATAACATGATATCCACTTTAATGATGTTAAAATTCTTAGGGAAAACTTATGTATTCAGATGAACATAATGCTCTTAGTCTTACAACTGATATTTGTAACAATAATTGCTGACAATTTAATAGTTGACTTCATGAGTCAATTGAAGTTAGATCACCATAATAAACACTGGGAGCACTAAGCAGCCATTGCATACCATTGTGGGACTCATCAGCAGTCCGCATCCACGATCCTGAACGCACGGTTCGAACCCAGTACCTGTCGGTCCCATGCGTGAACGCTTAACCTCTAGACCACTGAGCCGGCCGGCATCCAACGGTGTTTATGTCTTAATTCAACGCTCAATCTGATAATAACCATCATGTGCTCACTAATGACTTGCTTTAAGAGATATTTCCTGGAGTTCTAGTGAGAAGCTGTGATAATTGGAATTCAACAGTATCTGTTGTAGGGCAGTTACTCACTGCACACAATGATGAACGTTTGTGAGATTTCGTGGATTGGTTGAAGTTAGACTTCAATACCGATAGATACCGGTCGGCTTAGTGGTCTAGAGGTTAAGCGTTCGCACGGGAGACCTAAGTTTCTGAGTTTAGATTCCATGCGCGAAATCATGGATGCGCATTACTGAAAAGTCCCATACTACAACAAAAGAGCCATCCAATGCTTCCAGGTTTTACATGGTGTTCTAACTTTAATTGACATATGAATTCAACTATTAAAATTGCTAAAATCTCCACAACCTGACAAAAATTATAAAACAAATTGAGTATTGAATAGAAACTCATTAATAAATATAATTTTATTATACCTTAATGAGTAGAAAAATTGTATTTCATAACTTAACATAAACCACATCTTACACTGAAAAAGTGCCCTACATTAAGTTACGAAACGTAATAAATGAATTTTTTCCACTCATTGATATATATATATATATATATATATATATATATATATATATATATATCAGAATGAGTTTTGTGGAGATTTTAGTAAATTTCACAAGTTGAAATCATGAGTCAGTTGAAGCTAGACTACCATTGAAAACCTGGAAGCACTGGACGGCCGTTTCGTCCTAGTATGGGACTCCTCAGCAGTACGCATCCACGATCCCGCACCATGCGGGGCTCGAACCCAGGACCTACTGGCTTCGCGCAGGAGCACTTAACCATTAGACCACTGAGCCGGCATCCAACGGTGTTAATGTCTAACTTCAACCAATCCACGAAGTTGCGCCATCGAACACCAATGTCTTCAGTGAGCTGATATCTCACAACAGACCTGGTTGAACTCCACTGGTGACGGCTTCTCACTAGAACTCCAGAAGGTTCTCCTGAAGTCAGTCACTAGTGAGCAGATGATTATTATCCACTCATGATTTCAACTTGTGAAATTTACTAAAATCTCCACAAAACTCATTCTGATAATAATCATCTGCTCACTAGTGACTGACTTCAGGAGAACCTTCTGGAGTTCTAGTGAGAAGCCGTCACCAGTGGAGTTCAACCAGGTCTGTTGTGAGATATCAGCTCACTGAAGACATTGGTGTTCGATGGCGCAACTTCGTGGATTGGTTGAAGTTAGACATTAACACCGTTGGATGCCGGCTCAGTGGTCTAATGGTTAAGTGCTCCTGCGCGAAGCCAGTAGGTCCTGGGTTCGAGCCCCGCATGGTGCGGGATCGTGGATGCGTACTGCTGAGGAGTCCCATACTAGGACGAAACGGCCGTCCAGTGCTTCCAGGTTTTCAATGGTAGTCTAGCTTCAACTGACTCATGATTTCAACTTGTGATATATCTATATCTTTTATTCGCAATCAAAATAGCATATGCCAAGGACAGGGTTGGATAGAGAATGATGGTGGTCGATCTGAGCTTCTCCATGAGGATGAACAGGTGTTAGCAAGTAAGTAAGTAACCAACATATCATAACTGTAATTTTCGATTGATAACAATCAACAAATAAGAAAACCAGCTAACACACCATATCTTCATTCTATATTATTCATTAAAATAATACTCAAAATCAATTACTCTTTGATATTGGCTATTGGAAAAACAAAGGTAGAAAAGATTTAACTAATCCACAACAAATGTGCTATATATATATAGAGAGAGAGATAATTGAATTACCTTCATCTGCATTCAACTAATGTTTATATATAATAATAATAATCATACATTATCCTATCTATCATTAATATTATTAAATATTACTATTAACAAAATCATTATACATTACAATTCAGTAGTATATATACATCCTACATTTGATTTTTTTCTTCTCTCCTCTAATGGAAGCAAATGATTAGATAATAAATAAATATAAAAAAAGAAAGAAAGAAATAAACTAAGATAATGAAAAAAGAAATTAAATCTGACATGATAAATAATGATTATACATGGATGACATTGTGTTAATGCATTATAGTATTTCTTTCTTTCTTTCTCTTTTTTTCTTTTTGGTTGTTCAACACATTCAATGAATTCATT